GGAATTACGGAAGCGCAGAGCACGTTTTTTCCCCCTGTACAAGCAGCAACCAAAGTGCATTTGGTCTGAATGGCCAGTTTCAAAATAAGGAAAACAGTAACAAGAAAGAACAACAGTAAAGTCTCCAGGAGACTTTCAATATTTCAGCCCATTTTTAAAATTTAAGATAGATGAAGTCGAGACTTTTAAAAATGTTGAGGAAAAATCTTTCCCTAACATTAGCATTTGTTTCTGAGAAGTGGGAATTTATGCTACTCATTGCAGAGTCAAGTTAGCATATCTGGGAGGTCTGGTCTGCGTCACAACTGTTAAGCTTAATCTTAAATATTTTCAAGGCAAACAAGCCATCTCTCACAGTTCCTGTCTCTATGTATCGCTGACATCCAATAACTAGTCATTGGTTCCACTTCCCTCTAGTGGATGGATTTTGGAAAGACACCTGTCAGATGTAAAACCTACAATCATGACAGAGCTTTCTTACTACAGTAGAACCACAGAGTTACGAACACCAGAGTTACGAACGGACCGGTCAAGCACGCACCTCATTTGGAACCGTAAGTATGCAATCAGGCAGCAGCAGACAGACACACACACACACACACACAAAAGCAAATACAGTACAGTACTGTGTTAAACGTAAACTACTAAAAGAATAAAGGGAATGTTTAAAAAAAGATTTGACAAGGTAAGGAAACGGTTTCTGGGCTTGTTTCATTGAAATTAAGATTGTTAAAAGCAGCATTTTTCTTCTGTATAGTAAAGTTTCAAAGGTGTATTGAGTCACGGTTCAGTAGTTGTAAACGTTTGAAAGAACAACCAGAACGGTTTGTTCAGAGTTACAAACCACCTCCCTTCCCGAGGTGTTCGCAACTCTGAGGTTCTACTGTATTGCAATAAGCAGCTGATTCTGTAAACGTATGTTTTTAGGGGTGCTAATATCTCATGAACTGCTTGCTCTAATGACCCCAAAGTTGGAGCACTAACTACCCTCAGCATGTGAATTTTTAGAATAGTCATCTTCTAATAGTGACTCTCAACCTTAACTATGGCGGAGCTGCTGGTCCATTACTATTTGCTTTTTATGTTACAGCAGCACCCAAGGCCGTAAACCTTCCAAGCCTGGCGTTGTTTGGTATATGTTTGTCCACAATGGGGCCACACTCTGATGGGGCCCTGCTCGAAGAAACTCACTTACCCCATGAGAACCTGGTTTGTGGCATGGTAATAAATGACTGACGTTGTTTATATTACGGTAGAGTTTAGAGGTGCCAGCCAGGGACCAGGGCCCCATTGTGTCAGGCGCTGTATCATCTGTACTGTCAGAACCAGAGCCCTCTCATTTACCAGCCACTGAGATGGGGCTGTATTTAAATGTATGTGTTTCTTTCTATATGTGCATAGTGTGTGTGTGTCCATGTGTGTGCACATGCACCCTCTCTTCCTCACTAGTGAACTCACTTGACTTTGATCAGTCTCTCCTTGGAGCACAAGTATAGTGCCCACAAGAGTCCCCAATCTCTGCGTCTCTGGATCTGTTCCTCCTGTTCCCCCTCGATCCACATCTCGGGGGCTGGTCATTTCTCCGTGATTTCTGCAGTGCTGGGAACTCCATGTGCCCACATTTCCCGGCAGAGACCCAGCCTATGCAAAGACCCGACCAACAGGAGACTAGCTGCTGAAAATGCACCTGGAACTATTCCCAGAGAAGGATGTGTACAAGTCTAGGAAATTGGATGCTAAATAAATAGCCTTTCCCTGCCAGTACTTCGTGTTCAGAAGATAACGGGATAATAAGTCTGTTCCGTTCCTCTACCTTGCCAGGGCAATTGTACCAGAAACTTCTGAGAAGCCACGAGGAACTCTTCTGGAGAAGGACTAACTAGCCCAGGGGCTTGGCATTGGCTATAGAATCATAGACCTGGAAGGGAGCTCGAGAGGTCAGCTAGTCCACTCCCTGGCACTCAAGGCAGGACTAAGTATAAAGCCTTTCAGTCTGTAGCTGGGCTGGTCTAAGTCCTATCCAGGTCGGTAGCAGCTGGAAGTTGTTACCATCTGACACCTGTTTGAGTTGATCCTGCAAACACTCATTTTCACTCTCAATAACCCACAAACCCCCCTGCTTCTTGCCTGTTGCTCAAATATAACCCCCTGCAGCAGCTGGCTCTGAGAATTCCTCCATTCCTCTTCGCTCTTCAACAGTGCAAAGACTTGCAAGACTATTCACAGCCAGAGTGTGGCACTTAATTGGATTAGGCAGCTGCAAACCACTGCCCTCTAGTGGATACAATCAGAACTGCCCACCGGCACGGGATAGGCCCTATGCTGCTAAGGAGAGTCTCATTTAGCCCCAAAACAACAAGGAGTCTGGTGGCACCTTAAAGACTAACAGATTTATTTGGGCATAAGCTTTCCTGGGTAAAAACCTCACTTCTTCAGATGCAACCTTCTTCATTTAGCCCCAGCAGTAGAGGCCTTCGATTCTGGAGCAGGAGGATCTGGGTTCTATTCCTGGGCAGTTCTAAGTGGCCATTATGCATATCATAGGGACAACAGCGAAATCTGACGTTGCTGTCGATCTGTGAGAACTTAACTACCATTCTAGGCACTACCGAAGAATGAAATGAATGGAAGAATTCTTTGTTTGGATCTGCTGTCCTCATCATCCTTACAAAACACTCTTTGGGCAGAGCAATACAATGGGTCCGTGATTAAAATTGCTTGCCAGCCTTTGTATTGCTTTGTAACTGCAGCAGCATGAAGTGATTAATTTTTTCTTTTTTCCTTTTGTAAAAAAAACCCAAGTCTGCGAAAACAGCAAATCCATTTGCTATGCCGCATGCACACAAACTGGATCATTTTTGTTCTTTTCAATACCTGGGAAAGGATGAGTGTGCCAGTGAGACACCGCCGGGATCAGCAGGTGGGAACAGCAATAGATTAGACAGAAACAGGAAATGTCTATACATACTCCAGGCATAGGCGCTGACTCTGTGGGTGCTCTGGGGCTGCAGCACCCACAGGGGGAAAATGGTGGGTGCTGAGCACCCACCAGCAGCCCCCCTATCTGCTCCTCACTCCCCCCCCCAGTGCCTCCTGCCCGCTGGCGGGCCCCGTGGATCAGCACCTCCTGCCCACCGCAATCAGCGGTTTCGCGGCATGCAGGAGGCTGGGGGGGGGGGGGGCGAGGACCCAGTGCGCCCAAGGGAGGTGGCGGAACTGGGCAGGAAGAGGCAGGGCAGAGATGGAGTGGGGGCAGAAAGAGGTGGGGTGGGGTCTTGGGGGAAGGGATGGAGCGGGCCCTGGGGCAGAGCCGGGGGTCGAGCACCCCCCAGCACTTTGGAAAGTCGACGCCTCGATTTTACAATGAGGAACAGGTCGGCATAGCTTCCCATTCCGATGTCTTCCGTGCACGGGGAACCCCATTGCAGTGAGGTGAAGGACAAGAAAAAAACCACAGTTCACCAGGCCCTGCACCTGTGGGGTTCGATTTTATGAACCTTTTGATTTTATGAACTCATAAAATAAGGGTTTTACAGTACTGACTGATTCCCTGGCAATACTGTACTAGGCAGAATGAAGCAGGGTGGGGTCCTGCTATTACATACGCTACGGTCACATCTAGACTAGGGGCTTGTCTAGACACAAAAGTTGTCCCACTTTAACTATACCTCGGCTTGGCAGGAAATTATGGGGGGTTCAGACTGTAGGAGGGTCAAGCAATTATTAATGACCATCGATGAAGAGATTCAAAAAGTTAAAAGCTTTATAACCATTAAAACACAAACTGTCAACATCACGTGTCAAAAGACACAAAGTAAACAGCCTTAAATCAAATTCTAATAAGTTTTCAAGCAGCGTTTTTCTTACTTTGCCGATCTGTACATTCTGATTATTATAGAGGGAAATACCTTTTCATCGGTTTGTGGGTGTACAGGGAAATTGGCATTTACCAAACAAAGTCTAATGCTTTCAAAGCCTAACTCCACACACAGCACAGCGGTTGCCACCAGAGCTCTGCCCATGTTCGAGAGCTATAAATAAGGGGGAGGAAATATGGGGAGGAAAGTAGCAATCCCTTTTAACTCCACTGAACTATGTTGGATGGAAAAAGATTTCAAGTGATAAAGTTCCCATCATCCTGTCCTTAAACAAGCATTTCACAAAAGTATGGGGGCATGTCCCTCTGTACTAGACAACGGGGTTGGCAAGCTTCTCAAACTGTTCTCTAGAGCCTCAGCTTTCATGTTAAAAAAAAAGTAAGCTTTTAGCTGTTATGGTTGCAAAAAACACTTCAAAGCGTGACAAGCGTAACCCATGCAGCGACTCTGCCTGAGTTTGCAGAGAGCCTGAAACAAAATGGTTGCTAGCTCAGATGCCAATGACAATACTTTAAATGTTAACTATCTTGATCACATTGTGAAGATCTACACAATCGACTCAGTGACAGCTCATTTGGGGTTTGTCGTTAACGCCGCATGGCAGGGTGGAAGAAGGGGCACGATTGGTTTAATTTCCCCCGAAGTTGGGGAAATGCTGCCTTAAAGGCGTAATACCGGTCTCATTGCACTGGCTGGGAATCAAACCCCGGAGACAAGAATTTGGCCAAGGACTTAGCACTGCACAGGAAGCACCGAGCAGTAAAAGGGGAAGCGCTTTGCTCAGCCAACGGGGCCAGTTGGCCTGTATGGATCTAGTGGGGGGGTAATAAAAGGCCTGATAAAGAGCAACGAGAGACCTGCTAGTCGCCATAAGAAGCGTCGTGCCCAGGAAATTAAAAACCATACACTGCACTGCACAGGGCGGGAACTGGCGATGGCAGAAGAGGTGGCTTTGCTGGACAGGTCTCTGCCTTTAGCAGTATTTGCATCTGCTCCAGTGCATACGCTAGGCGGCAGGCTTGACTCGTGCTGCCTTGTTAATACACACACACACACACAGAGCAATAACTTAACCTCCTCCCTTCTAGCACCAAGCGGGGAAGGACAGTGACACAGGAATAATAGGAACAGAGGAGAGGGATGACACGTGTAACCTAACCTACTGGCACGGCAGCCGGAGAGGCAGAGCCAATGACTGCCTTGCATGCACAATGAGTCCATCCAGCCCTCCCCAGTCTGTCAAGTCCTTAAGTTGCAGCTTTCGACTCCCTCGGCGTTCAGAGAAAAGATGATGCTCAGCACGAGGGGAAGGAAGATCCCGCTGCCAGGTAGACGGCCTGGGCACTGATCTCCACAGGGCCGGCTGCTGAGAGGTACGTGCTTTCCAAGGCGCTGCAAGGCAGGGTTCCCAAAGCAATCGCGTTTGGGATGCAAACTAAGAGCAGACTTTAATTTTCCAGCAGGGGGATATGGAAATCTGCCTTCCTCTAAAATGATTCATCCTGCTTCCCCTCCAACTCCCGCCTCACCAAACCTCAGGCGCGGAGGCTGAACAAGACGCAGGGCAAGCAGCAGGACAGAGCGGGTTAGTACCTGTTGGGGCGGAGGGCTGTGAACTCGGGCGCTGGGATGCTAGCCAGGCAAGCAATGCTAGACCGCGAGCAGGGGTCAAGGGAGTGCAACGCACTGTGCCGCTCGGGATTTGAGGGTCGGGATTTAATGAGCAGCCGCCGGCTCGTTGACAAGGACGGCACTGCCTAGTCCAGGGTTAGGCTCGCTGGTGCTCGGATAAGCTGGGGTTCACCCCTGGATTTCCACTGGCAGGCTGGCTTCCCACCCACCTCTCTGCTCATTCGGCCTTAAGGCCTGCGCTTAACAAACAGCCCTGACAAGTGTCTTTAAATCTGTTGGGGGCATGGGAAGGGTCTAGACAGCAGCTCTGCAGTGAAGTAGAGGGAGAAAGCGCTTTAGGGACCACCTTGTCTTCTTTATTATAACAAAGTTCCTTATTCGGTGTCAGAAGAAAGTGGCTCCCTATGCCAGGAGGAGTCAATAGGCAGCCTGCGGGTCAAATCCGGACTGCCAAATGCTTCTGAACAGATCCTGAAATATTTGTATTTACTTATTATCATTATTGGTATTATTTTCTCTGGAGTCTGGACCTGGACTGAGAAATCTGGACCATGACAAAAAATAACTGACTACCCCTGCCCTGCCACTGTCACATGACAGCCCCCCCGGCTTGATGTTTGGGGGAGGGGTAACTCTCCCCCCTAGGAGCACAAGGCTCGTGCAATTCCATTTCTACAGACTCAGGGCTGGATTCTCGGTTGCCCCAGGCAGGGATGGAAGGGGAGGTAGGGAAAAGGTAGCTTTAGTCACTTTTGCATTCCCATAGTCCAGGGTCCTGTCTTGCCCCTGGTATAAATTAGAACAGCCAGAGACTAACCATAGTGCCGTGTGCTCTGGCCATGCCCCAGACATACCCCCACTCTGCCCCCTATGTTAGAGGCTGGGAACCGTGCTGACACAGAGCCCTTTTGACAGCTCTACATCACCCAAGGAGACCGGGTGTATTTTCCAACCAACCAATCCAATGCCCCTCTACGCTGTAAAGGCGGTGGCTGTTATGGGAGTGCCCTATAGGTGTATATATGCAAATGAGTTAATAAATAAGGTGCCAGTAGATGGCACTTAAATATACCTAGTGTGGTTGCTGGGTTTTGTAGGACAAACAAAATTTGCTGCTGTGCACTGCGAAGGGTATCCTTTGTGTAGCGCTTTACACCAGCTCTTAGCAATGCAAAAGGGCCTCAGAGTTCTCAGAGGACTTGCTCTGCCCACAAGACAGCCAGAGCCCGCCTACCGACAGGAGGAAGGTGTAAACGGCGTGATCTTTTGGTGCGGATGCCAGAACTGGATAATGCAAAGGGCAACAGTTGCTGTTCAGGAAGAGGGAAAATAAACCCTTCCTCCCACTCCTTGGCATGGAAAAACAGGGCTTGAACTATTTAACATTTCTTAGGAGGTTCTGGGTCAATAGTGCCTGAGACATGACTCCACCGTCCCGGGCCAGCGCCCTATCCCCCAGCCTTTCCTCATGTGAGTCGTTGACTGGACATAGTACAGAAGTGGTTTCTCAAAGGGGGCTGTCCAATAAGAGATTTAATATGCTGTCTGGGAGGCAGACATTTTCAAAGCAGTCTAGGGGACTGAGACACATCTGTTCATGTCAGTGTGTGGAAATCCCCAAGGCTGCTGTGAAAATCTTGCCCCACATTGCTCCCTGAGGTGCTGTCACCTTGCAGTGAGTCTTCTGAAGACGGGTTACCCAGTTGTCTGTAACAGAGCTACGCTACTCAGTGCCGTGGCTGTGGGGCCTTCCTTTCCTTTTCCTGTGAAGTCTCTGTCCCCTGGGAGCTCTGGAGTTGAATGGCTTCCACGTGCCACAGGACAAGGGCCGAATTACACGTAGGCAGCCGACAAAAGTCAAATCTGTGTCAAGTCACAGGTGTTAAGGCCAGAATGGACCATTCTGACCCTCTAGTCTGACTTGCACAGCAAAGGCCAGAGAACGTCACCCTGCATCCAGCCCCTATCTTGTGGTTGAGCTAGAGTGCATCTCTTGCTGACAATAGTCTATGTACTTGATATAATCAAACACGCATGTGTACTTGGGAATCGTAGCACAGTGTTACAGAGGAATTAAGAGAGGAGTGCGATCCAACGCCGGTCAAGCCAAGAGCAACATCCCCTGGGCTTCCATGATGCTCTAGCAGGGCCTTGGGCGTTCTGCGAACAAAAGAACACTGTCTGAGGTTTAGGCCATTGTTATTAGGTGTGTTACGCTAGTGCCCAGAGGCCCCAGCAGCACATACATTCAGGGTATCTTCATGAGAAAGCAGCACCACTCTAGGTATAATCTTAAACCAGTGCAAGAGGCTGTGTGGACATTCATTTTGGTCTGCAACAGGTTTATTGCAGTTTCGCTGAAGTCAACGGGGAACAGGTTTAAGCTGAGGCAAAATGAGCTGCTTTTAAGCCGAAAGAAGAGCATCCGCACAAGGGCTGGCACTGGTTTAATACTCATTTAAGTTAAACCAGTGCAATGTCTGGGTGTAGACAATACTGCAGCGAGAGCGCGCCCCAGCCCCGAAGAGCTCACTGCCTAATGAGCCACAACAAAGGGTGGGAGGGGAAACGAGAGCACAAGAAGGGGAAGTGACTTGGGCAAGGTCATATGGCAGCTCAGTGGCAGAAGCAGAACCCAGGTCTCCTGACTCCCAGCCCAGTGCCCGAGCCATGAGATCACACACTCTCCTGCTGGCTCCCCACCCCCCCCACCCCCTTTGAACCAGACAGTTTATCCCCCCAGGACGAGAGGAAGCGAGAGCCGAATGCCCCGGCTCTCGGAGCAGCCTGATGTTAACAGCAGCAGCCCTGTTCCAGCGCGAGGGAGCGCGTCCCCAGTTAATCAGCATTTAATTAAAGGACATGCTGACATTTGGAAACTAGAAACAACTCTCCTGTGTGGGCTGCCTCTCTCTGCCGCTCGCCTTCTCTCTGAATCACTCCCTGACATTTTGCCAGATGAGGATGTGACTCTCTTCCTCCCCTTGTAAGAACTCATTGAAAAGAAGACGAAAAGCCACCCCTCCCCAGGGGGAGAGGATGGCGCAGGGCCCCGGGCTTTGGTAGCGGAAGGAAAGAGCGGCTGATCACCCCCTTGGACAGCGCGAGGGAAAGAACCAACAGGTGTCATCCCTGTAGCTTGCCTATCCCTGCAGGCTGCGGGGGAGATCCCAGTGGCATCCTACTGCCACGCTGCCTCTTCTGTCCCCAATTGACATGCAGCAGGGTCCTTGTTCCGCTGGGAATCCTGCTTGCAGGGAACCTGCCTGGCTGGCAGCCCAGTACACACATCGTTATCCTGCTGGGATTCTCCGCAGGCTGGCCAATCCTGCCATTCCCACCACCCCCTCCAACCACGCGACCTTCACTGAGCCCCAGGCCAGGACCTCTCTAGCTGTCACTCACTCGCTGGGCAAGTGCTGACTGACACCCTCTGCTCCATGCATCGGCCTTTCTCCTCCAGCCAGTCGCATACTCCCCATATCTGAACCACCACCTGCCTGGGCAACCGCGCTGGCCCTGGGAGCAAGAGGAAGAACTGAGGTCATTCCCTGTTTTGTTTGTTTTTGGTAGAGCTGGGTCCAAGCTGCAAAGTTCTGATGCGAGGTTTGAGACTGTTGGGATCCAGGGTTTTGGCCCATTAGAAGATAGGGGGCCAGCCCCACAACTCAGACCTGGATCTGATCTAGCTCAAGTGTCTAGGTTCAGTGGCTGGTTCAGAGCCCAGTTTAGATGTGGGAGCTCTCTCCTCCCCCCACAATTCCTCCTCTCATTCTCTTGTCTAAACCCAATCTGTTCATCCTTGTTCTCAGGTCGGTTTCCAATTCCTCCTCTCTCCAGCCTGAGACCCGGGTGTGGTGAGCTGGGCAGGTCCAGCACAAAATCCACCTGGTCTGATTCAGGGCAGGGGGCTGCAGTGCCCATGGAACTTCCTTCCACCACAATCCATTTCCAATCACACAGCACCTCGGCACTGCACTTACAACTCACAGCCAGGAGACCCTGAGCAACCTGTGGGCTGAGACACTCCGGCCCTGTCTGCACTAGACATTGGCACGTTACAATCCCGTACTGCTGCTAGTGCTAGTGTAGATGGGCTCCTAACATTTTCACGATCCTGTCATCTAGACCTACTCTGAGCGGGTTGGTCAAAACGCCAGCAGCCTGTCTACACTAGGGCTCCTGTTGTTACAACAACTGGTGGGAAAATTCAGGGGCTGAAGACTTGCACAGACAATTGGGTTCAGCGGGGATGTCCCAGGGTACAACCGCAGGGATAGGCAGCACCGCCCACATTTTATTATTAATTATATTATGGTAGAACCTAGAGGTCTCGCCTGAGATCAAGGCTCCGTTGTGGTAAGTGCCGTGCGGACATGTAGCAAGGCACGCTCCGCGCCTCAGGGAGCCTGCAGTCTATACAGACACAATAGATGAAGGGTAGGAGGGGAAACTGAGGCACGGAGAGGTGCAGGGACTTACCTGAGGTCACACAATTGTTTGATGGCAGAGGCGGGAACAGAACACAGGTCTCCTGACTCCCAGCCCAGGGCACAGGCCACCAAACACACCTTGAGCAGCACCTCTGCAAGGAGAGGAGAGAATGTTTCAGAGCCTCCTGGCACTGAAATCTGATCCTCACCCACATTGGCATGTCCCCTTCCTCTCCGCCCCAGTCATGCTCCAGCCCCGTTTCACCTTCCTCTCGACCCGCCGTGCACACCTCAGCACTGCCACCCTC